CTGGGGATTTAGGAGGGAATTCTTCTAAGCCAACAGCACCCTGAGCCATAAATCAAGGCATTGTTAACCTCATTGGTGCCTATTCTTAACAAAAGAAAATGCAGGCTTGTTAGATCTATAACCAAATATATGAACCTACATCACTGTATAATTATCTCCCTTCATAATGTCAAACAGGTCAGATTCAGAGACATGTTCTAGTTCTCCACCACACTGAGCTATGAGACAACAGAATATGACAATGTATGCTCGGCCTCTCTCTTGAAATCTTTGTTTTACATTTATTAAACAGCATGTATCTACCAGAATCTTTCAATCAGAGAACAAAACAAGGAAGGAATATTAATTTTGGGCAGAGCAAGGCAATCAGTTAGTGATGGAGAATTATAAGCAAGTTGGGAAGTGGTGGAATTTTTTTAATTTACAGGTGAGAAGTGGTAGAGATGGAGATAGGGTCCAGTGTAGTTTGCTCCTGTACCCTGATCTTTTTATTTTTAAATTAAAAACAGTCTGAATTCTCATTCTGTTTAGTGACTCAAAACTAGCATTGAATTGATCATTCAATCTGGTCATTCAAATAAGGCATCTACCTTATCAAGTTATTCAGTTTTCAACAGGCAAATACAAAACAGAATATTAACATGACAAGTTTAAACAAAGGAAGAAAAAACTTAAGTGGAAAATATCTTATAACCCAGCTCTTAAAAGAATGGTAGCAATGAGGCAGTGCGCATTTTCACTGAAGCTCTCTCTAGCAAGGTCAGAAGCAAGGTAGGCAGGCCACAAAAAATGACTGTATAAAATCTAGTCTCCTGTGGGCCAGCTAGTTAGATATAAAAAACACCATGATAGGCTCACGTAGCTGAATGAACCTTAGAATTTTTACCAACAGTTTTAAAAGAGATCAAGATTAAGCTGCCTTACTCATAGTGAAATACAGGAAGATCAGCCTTACTCATAGTGGAATACAGGTCAACAAAGGGGTATAGACAGAGAAATCCACACATTAATAATGCTACAAGTGAAGTATCCCGTCAATCAGGCAAAAGGGAGACAAGGAAAAAACAACCAATCAATCCAACTGACAGCACAATAAACCACTAAAATATATCAGGAGAGAGAAGACTCCACAGGGAAGAACTTGTGGATTAGTCTGACCTTCTTTTGATTTTTAAGCTTTTATGGCGTCCTGCACATTTCTGCATAAAGCTGAGAAAGACAGTTCTCAAGTCAGCCTCATTCTTCTGCTTGACACAATGCTTAGCTTATGGTCAGCTCTTTGCTATATCATAGTTTCATAGTTTCTAGGGTTGGAAGGGACCTGAGCAGATCATCTAGTCCGACCCCCTGCCATGGCAGGAAGAGCACTGGGGTCAAATGACCCCAGTAAGGTGGTCACCCAACCTCCTCTTAAAAACCCCCAGGGTGGGAGCCTGCACCACCTCACATGGAAGCTGGTTCCAGACTCTAGCTGCCCTGACCGTGAAGTAGCGCCTCCTGATGTCCAACTTAAACCTTCCCTCCGCCAGCTTGTGACCATTGTTCCTGGTCACTCCTTGCG